AGGGGAGTAAACATCAAGAATAGATAAACAGCAAACAAAAATACCTTAATTCGCCGCAAGATGATGTTGATTCGCAACGGACCAATTATATGGACGAGGCTTGCGCATTCAACACATGTCACGGATCAGATAAAAACACGTCCTGTGTCTATATGCAGTTCTAAATTTATCGGATTTGATACAGCAAAATGCCAAAATCAATCTTGCATACTAGGTTGTTATTGAAAGCCTCTGTTCTGTTGAAATTGCGTCTTCATTGATAAAAACTGAGCCACTTGTTAAGAATTCGGCAGTTCGGTTTATAGCCAAACTGTCATTAGGCTAATGAGAATCAAACACGATCACAATTAGTGTTGTTGTCATAATTATTGTTTCCCATTGTTTGTTTTGATGTTTATAACACTGGAGAGGTAATTGTAATAGTAAAAGTGGTCCTTGGCATTTGCCGATAGTTTTACGTCTTTGCGTAAGACAAGAAGGTGCCTGTATTGTTTGTGTTCTCAGATTTTAACACAGGAAGATAAATATGTTCTTTGAAAGATTACATAAAATTAAAGACATTTCAGCACTTTGTTTAAGTATCTGTCGCACTATTGGGGAAATATCACAATAAACAGAAAACAATTAGCCAGACAAGAGTCACCGAAACGATATAAAGTGAACGAGTTTATTTTATTATTGCTGTGAACTTCGGCTAAATCGGATTGATTTACAACCTGATTGGTAACACGTGTGTTGTCGTTGAACCGCTGCACTTCGGGGGCTCAATAGTTACTTGAGAAGTTCAGAGGTGAGCATACATTTACTATATTTGGTGGTTATATCGCCCTTGGCAATACGATTGTATTCAGTGAAAAGTAAATTGTGTTGTTTCGACCATGTTTCGACGAAGCCTGACAAACGTCACCCGAAGCTACTTCCGAGGATTATCCGAACTGCAGTAACGAAGAAACCCGAATCAATCCTCCGCGTCCGACAGATATTTTTTCTGGCTAGACGCCACGTCTATGATTAGTTATTAATCAGATAATTCTGTTTTTATGCAAAAGAGTGTTAAAACATGACTTTCCGACCGGAAGTATTAAAGACTGATAGTTATGATATGGTGGTGTGGTGGAATGGGTTTGGCCTTTCTCATCACGCCCCCATCCATCGATCACCCAGGTCAAGGTATGCATTATATGATGATTCAGATACATCATAAGAACAGTATTAACGATTAATTAAAAGTTGGTTTGTTCGTCCGGAGGTATTGCACTTCCTATCATTACGGTATATCTCAGACAATAATCTAGTCATTTTTAACCACGATATATAGGCTTAAATATTTTTTTTTTATAAATTTCGTTTCGATGCTGATGATACGCAAATCCCTGTTCTTTTAATTTTAGTGTCGTAACCAAGGTACAATGATAAGCCCATAGTATTTCAACCATCTTACTTTGTTGAATTTCTTTCCGCAATATGAACCATCTTAAAAAAATATTGCTTGCTGTCCCCAAATTTCGTACATAGACCTATGGTAAGTGCTCTTTCTCATTCCCTTTTTATGAAAAATTAATTTACACCACAAGTTAATTTAAAAACTTATTTCTATACCAAACTTGGAGGGTAGCGGGGCCTTTGGTCATTTTTTAAATTGGCGCATTAGAATTTCTTTGAGTTTTAATTATTATTATATTATTATTATTATTATTATTATTATGCTTATTGTTATATATTTTAATTTAATGTAGCATACCGACGAAAAGATTATACAAACGAGGAACTTAGGCCTTGAGCTTACTCCACTTAATCGCTTCAGTAGAATTGCAAATAAGGTGAGTTTAACAAAATTTGCATTTATAAAGACTTCATTATTATGTAATTGCTAACATAATTTTACGTTAATGGATTTTAAATTTTCTGGTGTTTTTGTGTTTAGTGAAATACCTGGTAATTGGTGTCACACACAATAAAACAATAGAGCTACTTACAAAACATACAGTAATAAAATACTGAGTGAGAGAAAATCGTTTACTCAAATGTTCAACATTTTAATACGTCTTGACCTATGTGTTTTTAAAAATAATTAAGGAAAAAATTTGAACAAAAAAAAATAAAATTTAAAATAAAAGAAGAAAAGGTAAATGTAAAAAGGTAAAGGTACATGAATAAGATCAAACAAAAGATTTTCCAAACGCTTCACAGCCTTTCTATAATTAGTACCAAAATTATTCATAATAAAATTGAAACGGCGATTACAAGAGCTCGAATAAAGAGTAGCAAAGTTTAATGTCGTACCGTAATTGAAAGTGAAAGCACTGAATTAATATCAATTTATGCTTAATAGTTTGATTATCTCAATTTATTTTAATGACTCAGTTACCGTACCTAACGTAGTTTAATTTAATTGTACAACTTCCAGAGAAATGTTTTACCACTAATTATTAAATCGCAATGGTTTAAGGAAGAAAAACACAGTTCAAAGGCGGCAAAAAAAAACAAAAAACAAACAAACACACACTTAAAGGATTGACCATTGATTCACATATATCTGACAAACGGGTAAGAGAAGCACAAAGAATAGAGGCTAGACAAGATATTACCACGCCGAACCGTCACGAGCATGCTTTGTTTTAAGCACTCACACAGCCAATGAAATACGGTTTAATAGGAAGTTGTTGATTTCAAAGTATTTTCCAAGATTAATCACTTGATGGAAACTGAGAAAATCCCAGGCGTACAAAAGACCAACTTAAAGACTGCAGGTTTTAGAAGTAAATCGGAAGTGTTATATAAGCGGCCGTTGAAATCCCATGTCACACCTGTATTGTCTGAGTGGATAGAAATAGTGATTCTGTGCGATTAAACATAGTGACTAATACGACAAAGATTACTTTATAATAAGTATACCTTGCTGTCAATTGTTTTTAACTATAATCACCTACTAATTGTTCTTGTTAGATTAATTATATCTGACGAGGTCATTATCCGTAATGGAATGTGGATA